CACGCCTCTTATCTATTTATCTTCTTAAATTATTTTTTTCAAGGCTTAAGACTTCCAATCTCTTCTTGAGAATGTGATGTGTGATGTCCGTATAATCGAAAACTGACACATGCACAAAAGAAATATGATAGTGTCACAAGTATACGTGACACTTGTGAAACTATCATAACTTAGACAGAAGGATCCTTAAGTAGGGACTGAATAAATTAACCGACTTGGTATTACATGGATCTCACAACTTTTTACGGTAGAAGAACTGACTTGCGAGACTTGGTTTTTTTTACAAGTTATGTTTTTGATGGCATCTCATTTCTTTTTGTAGAAAGTTATATCTAGGTACCTATCTACACCTATTATTCCATTATATTATACAGATCACTGATTCATTCACTGCTAATGTAACTTTGTAATCCTATATATTTGTATGGGATTACAAAGTTATTTATGCAGTTGGTGTTATCTCGAAAACTTGGCCGAAAATGCAAAATATTTTAATTTTTTTTTTTTGATTTATATACTAAGCAATAATTTTATTCCAAGTTTGAAGCTTCTATATCTGCTAGAAGTGCCTTAGAGTTTTGATGATCGGTCAGTCAGTGAGTGACAAAATTAAGAAACTTTGACTAGTTGTAATTCTTAAAAGACTAGTTCAAACTCAATGAAATTTGAAACATACTGAGTTTATACAACGTCTACTTGGTTACTGAATTCAGGCTTCTAGTTTTATCTACAACGAAGTTATAGGGTTTCGAAAATGGCTTGAACTGCTTCGAGAAAAGGATGGTACGGCCGTGCCGCTTTTTTGCTCGACTTGGCACGGGCACTACCGTACCCCCAGATTTGTTTATTTCAGTTATTTCCATAGCATAGGATTTTGCAAAATGCGACTGATTTAGAAATTATTTTGTTTTGCGGAAAAGGGCCATAAGAGATGTTTTGAACCTAAAACCGAGAGAGTCTGTCAAAGAAAAAGTTTAAGTAATAAATATATTTATTCATAAAAAAAGGTTATTATAATATAAATGAATACATGGTTGATAATAACCCCTGGGAATGAGGTGGTTGCTTCCAAGCTGTTTCTAGAATAAATTTTGTATATTATGTGTAACATTACGTAATATAATAATAAGTATAATTAATTATTTAAAAAAGTTCCGCTGAGTTTCTTGCTGGTTCTTCCCAGGACAGGGCTTTCTTCCGAACCAGTGGTAAAGTAAATAACAGATCAAGGGCGAGTCGGACTCACGCATGAATGGTTCCGTTCCATCGTAAAAAAATGTTTCTATTATGGGAGCCCCCCTTTAATGTTTAATTTATTTTTTGTTACAGCGGCAACAAAAAGACACATTCTGTGAAAATTTCAACTGTCTACCTATTACGGGTCATGAGATACAACCCGCTGACAGAAAGACGGACGGACGGACTGACGGGCGGACGGACGGACGGACAGCGGAGGCTTAGTAACGGGGTCCCGTTGGTTACCCTTCGGATACGGACTCCTAAAAATTATTTTGAATAAGAATTACATGTAATCTAAATTGAATAATAAATTATTATTTTCTATACAATGCAGAAAAGATAAAAATAGACATCCTGGTCAACATCGTAAAAGGCGAAGCATTTTGGCAAGTTCTGGCAGCATACGAACAGACTGAATTTAAGGCCGAGTTATTCAGATGAAGTAGGAGGCATAGCTTCAGGCACAGTTTAAAGTAAATTCCAGTGTAATAATTTTATCTTCGATGATGTAAAGCTCCGCGATCGTAGCACCTCATGTGCGGAATTTCGATTTACCAATTAAACCACCTAAAAGGTCAGAAATTGGTCATAAAAGGTCAGTTATCTTATTAATTGGTCAACGTTAGAAAGATTTTTATTAAGGGTTAAAGTTTTTCAAGGTCATTGAGAAATTTTAGCACCTCATTCGCGAAAAAAATAAAAAATTCCACCTATGCGCGATCGAGAAGCATTCGCTGATAATTGGTCAGCTTATATAAATATTTGGTCGCGATCTGCGTTAGTTGCCTATTTGTAATTTGGTGATAAATGAATCCGAAACCTTGAAGATTGAACTTTGAACTACTGCTCGTTACTTGTGTCGGGTATCACGTGTTTGATTTTACAATAAACGTTGAATTAGATGAGTTGAACTTAGTCAAATGTACAATAAAGTTGATAGACTGAAATAGTGACATGAAGAAAGAAGTTGTCACTTGGTGACGCCTGCTGGAGTGATGCAGCATTGTGGGGCAGCATGGGACCAGGCCGCTGCCCGGTGACCTCAGCTGGGCCAGGTCACATAAATGTACACACCACTAAACACTACTTTACATGCACCTACAACTACCTACCTACCTTCGGATCCCTGTACGTACTACTTATTTACCTAGCTTATCACTATCGTGTAGGTCAACTGTCCATAGGCCATTTGGGCCCCGTCCTTAGTTATCCTTCGAGTCTACAGCTGTATGGGCCCCTGTATAGTCGATCTTTGTCGGGACAGCTAGGGGCTTGTACAAATATTAAAAAATATTTTCCTCACTCCGTCTGGTTCATAGTAAAAATGGGAGCACATTAGATACTAGGGGAGAGCTGTCTTGATCTTGATATTAGCCATAGCTACATATCTACATTATACTATGATGTTTATGTAGTTGTGCCCATCATTAAAAATAAGACAGGTGACTCGACGTACAGGCGTTAGCGTTCATATTGTTAGTATTATGTACCTTCAAAAGAAGAATAAAAAAGCTTTTTCTAAGCTTTACCATCCTGCGTAATTAGGTAATATTAACTTATATCTTGTTTATTTTACTAGTTTAATTTTTAAAAGAAATTGGCCGCTGAATTTGATTTCACAAATTTAATTACGACTAAGCTAATTTCCAAATAAGCGAAGAACCAAGTATTAATATAACGAAATACTATACTCTTCTTGTCGGCAAACTTATTTAATATTATAAATCTCATTATAGGTTTCATAATAGTAATCGGTACATGGATTTAAATCTTTTTAATTATACATTATTTTCTTTATAATTTGATTTATATTATGGCGACCGCGTGGCCATGTGATCAATATATATATATATATATATATATATATTATATACAGAGAGGATTACCAACGTTTTTTCTGCCGACTTCCAAAAAGGAGCCGGTACTCAATTCGACTGTATGTTTTTTTTTTTTCGTTTTTTTTATGTGTGTTACCTCAGAACTTTTTTCTGGGTGAACCGATTTCGATGATTCTTTTTTTATTTGAAAGCTGGTACTTCTCGTGTGGTCCCATATGAATTTGATCAAGGTCAGACCAATAGTTTTTAAGTTATTTTTAAATAACTTATATTGAAGTCGGCTGTACAAAATTTTTAATTTTAAATTATTGAGCAAATAAAACTACTTTTTACTTTTCTAAACTACAATAATAAAGTACAACGTTATAAGATAATATTATCTACTTGATTTAGCTATTTTCCACATAATATAGTGTTTTTTTTTTTGTTGAATGAATTCATTTTAAATGATGTTTAGAGATGTGTGTTCTTTCATCCTGTCACTTAGAATTCATCAGAAAAAAGTTCGTTTGTCCGAAATAACGTATTATATTTTATTATAAAGTAACGGTAGTAACACTAGTAGCCACTTTATAATATAATTGAAAAATTTTGTACAACCGACTTCCATATAAATTATTAAGAATAACTCAAAAACTATTGGTCAGACCTTGATCTTATGTGGGAATTTATATGGGGCTACATATAAAGCACCAGCTTTCTAATAAAAAACGAATCATCTAAATCGCTTCACCCAGTAAAAAGTTATGAGGTAACACATAAAAAACATATAGTCGAATTGAGTACCGTCTCCTTTTTGAAGTAGGTAGAAAATATTGTACTACTAGCTACTTTACCGCGGGTCTTGAGGACCAATCAAATCTAAAGCCAACATTTATATAAAAAATTGTTGATTTTAGCTAAATTAGGGCTAATAGTTTTCTGCTCACCAGATGTCGCTAGTTGACATTGAGGTAAAGTTTTTTTTGTTACACAATGTAATTAAATAGAGAAGCTTTTTTAAATAAAAGTTTGTCAGTTTCCAGAGTATTATATTAGTACACAAAACAATGCGTCAGTGGTTTGCTCTTTAATTTTTTGCATATCTTTAACTTTTTTTAATTTTTTCACTTTTATGAATATTTGAGGTTTGGTTTATTTATTTTTAATGTTTTTAATATAAAATATAGCTAATAGTACAAAAAAAAACAATAACTCTGACATTTTCTGAACAAATTAACTTCCCCACTATGAAATCTGTCAAATATTATACCTCACTTTCTAGTGGCGCCGCCCTCCTGGCAGAAAAAGTCCTGGATGCCCTTATTAATTGCAGATATGTATTATAATGAATTTCTGCAAAATAAGGCCAGATGCTTTTAATAATAATGCTGCTGTTTTGCATACAAATGAACAACTGACCATTTTTTCTGATTATCTAGCTCTCAGGGTTGATATCACTTCTGCATTTTGATTGTTAATCGAGGATAAATACATCTATGGGGTTACATAATATACTTCAAACTACGTGGACTGCACTCGTTGATCACTCTTAGAAGAGGGTATAGTAAAGTTACAGCATATATCCGTCCCACTGATGAGAGAGAGAGAGAGGAGACAGGTCTCCTCTCATATCTGAAAGGCATATCGAGCAATTTTACCGCAACGCAGTCCATTGACGAACTCGCGTTTCCTCAAGATACATATCCTTATGTTTGAAAACAAAGTACCAACTATTTTAATACATTTAGCAATGAAAGCAGCACGCATGCAAATTATATAACGCAATAGTGACAACACTATAATGCTTTTTGCTTTTCTATAACAGTTTATGCAGGTATAAAGTTCGTGGAAAGTGTTCAAGAAAAGCTGTTTCTGTTGAGAAGTGAAAGGTGGTAGAGCCCAGAAACTGTGTTTTTTTTAAACTTACTTTAGTTTTTCATAATGAATTTGAATTTTTGTTTTTCTTTTCTATGTTTATGTTTCGCATTGGTCGAATCATTTTTTCTTTTTGCAGGTGAGATTAATTGATTTTCATTAGTGTTTAATTATTCTATTTTAACACGTTTCTTATTATGATAACGTAGTTTGTTTTTAATAATTTAGCAAAGTGTCGATATGTATATATGTCCATATAAGTTTTATAAATTAGTTCTAAATTTCCAACATTAGTCAACCGTACCAAGGAGTTAACGTACGAATTAAAGAATAGAATAAACTTCTTTCACAAATAATTTTATGTTAAAGTTTTTAAGTCATAAATCGGAAAAAATCGAAACCAAGTTGACCCAAAATTATTGATTGATATTTTAAGTGCATAGCGGTGTAAAGCCTACAATTCTGAGCATTTAGAAAAATATATATTTTGATAACATAATATATGTCTGCCAATTCGCTTTTTAATCGCAATAATATGGTAATAGTATTACATTTAAGATATAAATTAAGTATTTTTTCTAAAGAAAATTATTTTTTATTTTTATAGTTGAATTGAAAAACGATACCACAGCATACCATATGCTACAACCAACTTCAAACATTATAGCCATATTGTCTTGTCATCATTACAACCTTTCACAAGTCCATAACATAGACCTTACCCATGTAATGCCGCATAGCGCGGTTCAAAACCATCTGAGTCCAAATTGCAGCATGTTTTACCAGGTCGTCCCTCCTTCTAGTGGGGAATCGTTCTACCTTCCCAATATAAAATTAAAAATAAATCAAACCTTAATGATGATGATGTATGATGACATTTCAAATATGTGTTATTTGAAATGTTTCATACATCATGTTTCCTTCTTTTAGATTTTATTGTTTTCTAAATATATAATATAATTATAATAAATAATATAAAATATATATAACTAGATTTAGAAAACAAAAAAATCTAAAAGCTTTTTTTTTTATAGAAATATATTTAAATAAAGAAAAGAATCAATTTTTAAATGCATAAAAATATATTAGAGACCTTCATACAAAATTTATATTATGACGTGCCGCTTCATGCTACATTCACCCAAAGTAATCAAAGTTGCTTAAGCGATCTAAAAAGCTATTTAATTAAATTTCAGAAAAGAACGAGCCAATATGGTTTTGCCTGAAAGTGTGCCCACTCTATTGTGCTCGCCGAAGACACGATGAAGGTAAATTATTGTGCTAGTGTAAGAAGTAAACCTTAAAGACTAAAATTTAATGACATATCCAAGTGTCATTTTTAATATGATCCAACCATATTAAAAACCGTTTTATTAAAAATTTTGGGTTGTCCTTGTATACTCGAAGCGACCGTAGCTAATGGTAAGTTGCGGACCGCGTACTCAAAGGTCTTGTGTTCGAATCCGCCATTCGACTACTGTGGTGAGCCATTACTAAACAAGCATTTTAAGCTTATCTAGAGTAGTTAACAAGAATATTAATATTATTAATAGCGTTACTAGTATTTTTCTTTAACAAAAAAGTAAACATCATGAGGAAACCCGGATGTTTAAAAATTAAAAAATGAGTTGGCGGATATGTGAAGTCTACCAACACGCATTGAGGAGCGCAATAGACTCTTCCTTGCCCTAAAACCCTCTCGGTTATAAGAGGAGCACGGTGCCAACCGGTTGAACATTAAAAGAGAAGGCTATTTATTTGTTTATTTTTATAATTGAATATTCTTTATACGTGGTAGAGCCATGCTGCATATACATGATAGAGCCATGCTGCATATACGTGGTAGAGCCATGCTGCATATACGTGGTAGAGCCATGCTGCAGCTATATTAATAGTATAGTTGTAGCACGAATGGGTCGGCTCGACGGGGGCAGGACCACGCTCTCACAGAATACCAGCGTAAAATAGCAGCTTAATGCTGCTGTGTTTTGTATGGTGAGTGTAGAGAACCGGAGACCCTTTTTACTGGAAAAGAGGCATTCTATCTTAGTCCTCACGGCTGACAACGCATCTGTATTTTAATTCGTAAACGAAGATAGATGTGGATGTCTATGGGCCACAGCAACCACTTACCATCAGGTGGACTGTATGCTCGTTTGTCCCCCTCATTCTATAAAAAAAAAATCTTTTTTAATTATCTTTTTAATATTTATTTGTTAAGATGCTTCATCGCTCGTATACTGGGACGAAGATTATAGTTCAATTATACATGAAGAACCCGAAGTATTCCTGCCTTATCATTATTTCTGCAAGCCTCCTAAGTCTAGACCCACCACTACTACACCACCGCCAACTACTACGATGGCGACTACCACAGAAGAGCCCACATGGATATGTATGGTATGCATGAAGAAATGTGGAAGTTTAAAGAAGAAATAAATTCCAAGAATAACAAATTATAAGAATTAACTTGTATTAATATTACATTGTATCTTTCGCATTTTTATTTTTATATACTGTTACCATATTTTTCGATTTAGGTCCTTAATTGTAGGACAAATAAAATTAATACGGACTTGTTTAATGAGAGATTAGTATACAAAAATAAAAAGAATTATCTTAATAATCGTCCATGTTAACGAAAATTTAGGTATCTTTTTAAACTAATATTTCCTTTGGTTTCAGATATGTACGCAATAGAAAATGTTTGGTTAATTTTTTAAAGTAGTCTAGTGAGTTAATTTTTTTAATCCAAAATAATTTATTTATAAGAATATATTTATTATATTTTTTAATCCAATATTTAAAAAAATTGTAAACAATTTAATTATTTAAATTTAATTTTTCATCTATATTGATCACAACAGATAGTTATGGTAATATAGAATAACTAGCTGACCAGGCCGACGTTGTTCTGCCTTTTCCGACGACCATTTGCTTTCCTAAAAAAAAAAACTCCTGAGATTGGCAATAAAAAATTGAGGGTCACATATCGCCATTAAAACTATCCTATCTCTCAAGTTGGACCAAACTGCACACAATGTGCAAAATTTCATTGAAATCAGTTCATTAGTTTACGAGTTCATCGCGGACAAACAAAGTGACACGTAATATTTATATATAAAGATTATTATGTGTTTTAGAATATGGATTTAGATTTTTTATAAAAAAGTCTTAACTGGTTTTAGACTAAACATTATAATTATAATATTTGTACATATTATTATTTTTTTCATTAGTAGATTAATAAAATTATAAATAAATATATTTCATCAATGCGTTTTTTACTTTTTTATGTCTTACAGATGAAAAATTAAAATAAAAACGTTTTACATTTTTAATTTTTTTAAAGTGATGTATTATTTATTCTTAAAACCTTATTTTAATATCCTTAAAATATATTTTGATATCATTTGTAACATATTGTATTGAGTCATTGAATTATACAAAGACAGATTCCAAATAAAACAGAAAACAATTAAAAATACGTAAATAGAATTGCTAATTTCTAACCTGTCGTTGAGACTTAGAATGATGGAAACCATTGAAGACTGTATGTGTTGGAAAATATTGTAAGAGGTATTTTTCGCCATTATGTGATTTACTACTTATTGTCTTAGAATGCATAAACTCTTGCTTTTGTTTCGACAAGTTTAAGTACTAAGTGAAAGTTATGAATGTAAATAAATTTAACATTTTAATATTATAATTTGTGTATCATTCATCATCATTACAGGCTTCATCTTATATTGTGTTGTAGGGGGGACACTTGACATAGTAGCCTCACTTGACAATCGGGTTGGCAACCGCAGTTTGTATATTTCTGCTGTATATAGTATATGTTTGTATTTTTTATCAACTGCCCATCTCCTGGTTTGTTTCCCTCTGTCATCTCTTACAACGCTCATGGGTTGATATGTGATAGTGGATATTCTTCTGGATATTTATATGGTGTACGCCTCTTTAAGAATGCTCTCTAGCTGATAGTCATTACTTGGAAGCTTTACTCATACTCACAAGTCTTATATTTGCCCCACCAGGATTTACGTTTTACATACCACGACTCTTGACTTCATTTTAATTGTTAAACATTACTTGGAACATTTGTTCGCACCTAGTATAAGTGTAAGAGAGTTCATGAGCGCTGAGCGAGATAAATACCTGCGCACAATTTTCTAGCAGTTATATTTTATCAAGGATACGTAATATACATAAAACCTATAGCTATAACATTTTTACAAACACCAGGCTTACATAACAATCTTGCAAAACTAGACCTTACTTATAATATGCAAAAGTGTGCAGCTCTCACTTTTGCTGATTTCCTAGTGGATAATTGACCAGTGACACTCGTTATGGTAAGGACCTAACTTGTTTGCTGAACTTTTAAGACTTAGTTCTTAAACGATCTTGTTTATCGAATTTTCATAATAATATATGTTTAAGATATTTTCCAGCCACTTTGAATATGCAATAGCGCAAATGACTATAAATATTTTTCCTCAATAAGTAATCATAACAAAGGAGGACAACAGCGTAATGATGAATGAATGAATTTATCAATAATTAATAATAAAATATATTTTACTATAAAAAAAGATCAGATCCATAGCTTTGTTAGTAACAGTTGTAACTTATATAATACGCTTATTTTATGTTAGTAAATACTAAAAAAAAAAAACAAAGAAAGTTAATTAAAAGAGAACATTTGTAGAGACGGTAAACCGCTCCCTTGGCGCATGAGTAGTTCATGCTTTTACACTATAGAGACGCATCCAGCGCCACAGAATCGGCAAGTCCCATCTGTTCGTATATACGCTCAGGATGCTGTTTGTCAGGATGCTGGATCGAAAGCGGTTTAGTTGGGAAGCGTATCGTTTTCTAATGAGCATATAAAAACAGTCACTGTGCGCCTTCTTAGACATTGTGGACGCACTGCAAAAGGGTTGCAGCACTAGCAGCAACCTGAACGCATTAATATTGAACCCTTAGGGCACTGAATGCACTCTGCATAAAGTTGACCCAAAGGCTCCACGTATAAAAGAAGCGACAATAGGCCTTAATGAAGAAATAATTTACCAAAAATATTTCATATACGTTGAGCCCTTTTACTTTACGGATTGCGTCGTAAGATTTCGCCTTAACGCTGTCATTGATATTAAGTGGGATAAAGTTAATCAAGAAAAATGAGAAGTACGACTTATAATAAAATGCTTGCGCTACTATATATTTAATACATATTGTTTTATTTACCTCTAGAACTGCTAAAAGTAAAACCGGTGGTATAATTAAATTAACGAAAATCAAATGTAGTCATTATAGAGCGGCTGTTAACATATCGCTTTGTGGTTGTCGGTGAGAATTAACATTTTTAACTCGCTGTATGTTTGTTACGCCATAAATTCATAATTGCATCGTGTCGTTTACTTGCTTATTACATACTTAAATGTAAATTTAATATAAATTACGTATAATACTAGCGATCCGCCCTGGCTTCGCACTTGTGGTTTCTGGATGTCGATAACAGTGACACATACCGGATCCAATTGTGAATCTAAACTATCCAGGAACCTACTAAAATGCACACAAAAAATTTCATCGAAATCGTTCCAGCCGTTTTCAAGTTTTACCGAGACTAACGGACAGCATTTGATTTTTATATAATATAGATATTAAATATATTTCATCATTATTAGTTATATTAAGTTTCCGTTCCCCCAGGTTTCTTTTCTCTCTGTGGCCTTTTACGATACCCACGGGACAATATAAGGTGCTGGATATTCTTACACCGCCACTATACGATAAATATAATTTGTAACAGAAGTAAGCACAGAAATTTCATTTTATTAATCATTACGTAATTTAAGTAATTAATATACGTACTTTATTTTTATTTAAATTTTAATAGGGTTAGATATAGTTGAGTACCAAGCTTCTAGTTAGCCTAGTTTTTTTAATGATTAAAAATTATAAAATGTTTTTTTACTTATAATCTTTGTTTTTTACTTGTTTTTTTGTTTTATTTTTTATTTTAGTGCACCCTACCCATAGCTCATTTTCTTATTTTTATTTATTTCTTCTTCTGAGTTGCCTGAAAGAGATTGCTATGTAGCAATAAGACCACCCTTTGTATTTCCCTCAATAGTTGTTTATTTTTTTCTTTTTGTTTTTTTTTGTCTTTTCTTAGTGTACAATAAAGAGTAATGTATTGTATTGTAAATTATTTTTAAGAATGCTCTGAGAACACTTAGTGTTTAAGCAATATTAATATTTATTTTAATTACCTAGTAATTGAATTATTTGTATATTTATTATAAACATCTCGTAATATTAAGTTAAAGAGCCTAACACACGTACCGCATTATACTTTAAATTATAATACTAATGTATTAACTTAGGTTTAAGTTAGTTTTAATTGTTGAGACATTTGATGATATACTAAACACGATATTTATAACTATATTAGTTTTTACTTGGTAGCTAATTATGTCCGTGGTAAGCCGCCGTGTTTGATTTTATGTGACGTCATATTTAACCCGAGAAAGAAAATCCAAAGAATCATTGTCATAATACAACGAGTAGTAATTTTATACGTGGTAGAGCCATGCTGCAGCAATATTAGTAGTACAGTTGTAGCAGGAATAGGTCAGCTCGACCAGGGAAGGACCGCGCTCTCACAGAATACCAGCGTAAAATGGCAGCTTGACACTGCTGTGTTTCGTATGGTGAGTGTAGAGAACCGGAGACTCATTTTACTGGAAAAGAGGCATTCCACCTTAGTCTTCACGGGTGACGACGCAACTGCATTTTGATTTTTTATTGAGGATAAATGTAGATGTCTCTGGGTCTCAGCAGCCACTTTTCATCAGGTGGACTGTGTGCTCGTTTGTTAGCATATCCTATAAAAAAACTGTTAATAGGATTTGAGGGTACATCTGAAGATACGTAATTTCTTACATACATACACACTTACATACAAAGATACTTACATACGTCTAACTATGATAGGTTAGGAAAGAAAACGGTAACTCTCACATTCTTCTACATTGTTTCACATACTTATATCACTTATATCGCTTAACAACTATCTACACCCGGTAAAATTATTTGTACGTCATATAAACTCTTGTTTCAATCAAACCTGCAGATCTACAGTGCGGCACAGCAATCGATATAAATCTTCTTTATTTATTTATTTATTTATTTATTTATACTCTTTATTGCACATAAAACACTACACAACAGCGCAAACTTAAATTTATCAACGAATGTACAATTAGGTGGCCTTATCGCTAAACAGCGATCTCTTCCAGGCAAACCTTGGTGAAGGAGATAATTTTCATTTAAATATATAGAAGTGTGCATAAATAGTAGATAAACAAGCATATATTAAAAATAATATTATATATACCTATACACATAAACAAATATATACATAC